ATACTCACATCACATGGCCATCGTTCACAGGTGACTGATACTCACATCACATGGCCACAAAAGCCACAATGTTCCCCCTTAACTGGTTTAACAATTGGTTGGAACTTGGGGAACCTTCGTTCAACAGCCTGGAGTAAACTTTCCACAGGAAATGAGAAACATGATTCCTTTGTAATTGGAACACAACTGGTCCCCTTTTTAAAAAATGGGACCACTACACCAATTTGCAATTCCATCTTGTCCTCCACGCAGCACTGAGAGGAGGTTTGTCAGGCCTTACAATATTCATTTGTGTAGCCTTTGGTAGATGCATGTGTGTAATCTGAAACTGAGTCTTGAAGATTCAAATCACCTGGACTTCTTTTTTAAATTTTGTACACGTTTCACTTGTCGAAGAAATGTTCTCGTCAGAAGAACTGAACTGGGGAAGGAACAATATCTGCTGTGGAAAAAGCCAAGATCAATGCCTCAGAAAAGTTTTCCAGTTAACAGTGCTATTTATAGGGGCAATATAGAAAGAGCTTTTTATCTTTAAAAATACATCAAAGAAGTCAGGCTTGAGGGACTGGAGATACACAGTTCTGGCTACCTCACTGAAAAAAATGGGTAAAAGTCAGGAAAAAAGTTATTAACTAACCAATTAAATCATACAGCCAATGTAAAAAGAAAAAATAGGTCCTCTGGACAGATTCTTCTTTAATGAAACATTTCATCTCTCCTTCAAGAGACTTCTTCAGCCAGATGAGTTTCAGGTGAACTCAGCCTTATAAGCTCTGCCTCCACATGGTGGACAAACAGGTTGGCCACATGCAAAAGAGGGCCATCGCTTAACAATAGGTTGTTAGTGCCTTGATTAACTCTATTGTTCATAGAGGGTCATGTGCCCCATCACCTGACTATCTTTGGGGCCCTGATTCACACCTTGTACTCACAGGGGTCTGAGTCATACTTGCAATAACAGCATTGTAGGAGAAGGACAACTGGACACGAAGGCCTCCACCTCTGTTTAATGGTGGATGGTTTGTCTTTACAAAGATGGCTTCTTTTACTCCACTCTCAAACCAACGTTCCTCTCTGGATGAGAACATCTTCATCCCTGAAAGAGTGACCGCTGGCCTGTAGATGAGTGTAAATTGCAGAGTCCTGACCTGATGGTGTTGCTCGTCTGTGCTGACTCATTCTTTTGAACAGAGGCTGCTTTGTATATACGTATATGCAAAGCACGATATACAATACGATATACAGCCAATTGTAGCCTAAAAGATAATAATTGAATAGGAGAAAAAGGCATTACATTACATCAATGCCATGTGGGCAGAAAATAAGAGTTGACCACAGCAGTCCTTCAGAACAAGAATCAGTATACATTTCAGTGGCAGACATCTAAGACTGTCATAAGTCCAATTTTGGTGATTTACCAGGTCCTTAAGAAAAATCAATAAATAAAAATGGGATAACCAGCACTTCAAAAATACAAAGTATTCAATAAGGGCAGAGAACAGGATGTGTTTCAGCTACATGCTATCATCAGCTTGTTGATTTACCAAGTCCTGACATAAATCACAGCTGTTATAAAAACTAACCATTCATGAACCCACTGTTGCACAAATACACCAGCTTCTAATGAATGGCACTGCACAGAGTGGTTGACTCAAGGCCAGATAGATCAGAAAGGGTTCATTTAATCTAACTAATGGCAAATAGCCCGTCTCTGCATGCGAAAGCTCGTTTGCTACTTTTGCGTCTATATTTAGCACGTAGGCAAGGCAGGTGCAAATTGACTCAGTGCTATGAACAAACATCTGTGGTCATTGTGGCGAGAAGAAGGCATAGGTACAATGACAGAGAGAGAATGATCTGTGTGTATATAAACTGGACTGAAAGAAATAAACATTTGTAGCAACATGTCCATCCATCCAGCAATGCTATCTTTGAGCCAATCTCAAATAGAGGCCATGTAAAATCTTCTGTGGAAAACCTCCTTGCAACTCTGCATTGTCTTGCATCTAGATCATTGGCCTCATTCACCAAGACCTCCAGCTCCATGGTTTCAAATTTCCTTTTCTTTTTACAGCCACCCTGCTCTCCCAAACTGATAGTCAGTAGCACACACAAAATCTTCATTTCAGCATGGTGGTCTGCACCACTTTTACACCTATTATCATTTGTGCATGAAATCTTAGTAGATCACCCACAACATGCCCACTAATAGCACAAACATTTTTCCTCTGTTTGTTTGTTTGTTTACACATGAAATTTATGGATCATTATTTGGGACCTTAGTAGATCAGGCTCTAAGATACATCATAAAAATTCAATATGACTGTGGAAAACAAGACATGAAATCCATTTAAAGCCAGTTGCACAAGCCACCATCAAGTGGAATTTATGGCAAGGAGATGCTCTATCCTAACAACTATTTGCAGCGTTTTACAGTGTTTAAGTCATAGTTCACAGACACTATTTAACTTAGCATTTTTCTGTTTTAATGGTCAAGATTACTATGCAAAACTAATTGCTGGTTCAGAGAAAGACCCATCTATTTTATCTCAAGTTCTTTGTATCATTTGAATTGTTGTTGGTCAGTCATGTTGTCTGTGTTGACCAACGTAACTGCAACATGCACAGTCACAGATTTCAACTAAATTTTTGGAAACTTGGTTCATAAAATTTGCTGGGTATTTCTGTACAAACATTTATGAATCCAAAATCCAACTATATATATATA